CACAGTATACACACCTGTACAGGTAAACACTATACACACACAGTACACACATCTGGAAAGGTGCACACCACACACACAGTACACACACCTGTGCAGGTACACACTATACACACAGTATACACACCTGGACAAGTGCACACAACACAAACCTGGACACTAACACATTACACACACAGTATACACACCTGGACAGGTAAACACTACACACACAGCACACACACCTGGACAGGTACACACTACACACACATTGCACAGACAGTCCACAGTCAAGATCACTAGTGCTCAGTGGCTGGGCTGGACCTTGCTGCTTTTCTTCAGTAGGAAGCGGTCCCAGTGGCTGATGATCTCCAGCCATTTGACCTCTCTCTGACGGATGACCTCAGGAGGCGGCCCTTCACAGCTGACAGAGAGAAAGTCATCGGCTCGTTAACACACTCTCGTTCTGGTGCCAAAAAAGACGGAGCATGGTCCTGAACAACAGGTACACACAATACAAACACTGGTGAAGTCCATGTGTCCGAAGTTGAAACAGGACAGAAATCCAGTGATGTGTGTGGGAAGGAGCACTGCTGGCTCACAGCTCCTGGGCCCTTCTGTGTGGAGTCTGCATGTTCTGCCTGTGTCCACTCTGGACACGAGTGCTCCAGGCTGCTCTCGCTGCTCTCCAGGGTCATGCTGGCTGGGTTAATGAATCCTTGTGCCCTGAGTATGCCGAGCCAGGCTGGACTGGTCCTGGGTCACCATGGCCATCTAAGGTAAAGTGACGGATGGCTGGAACGAGCTCGAGGACGCGGTGCCGTCCCATCTCCCTCCTCAATGTTGATGTCAAGATCTGATCTGAGAAGTCAGCACAGGCTCTTTCTCTAACTGGCCTCATCAAAAACACAAATCTTTACCCTGAGGACCTTTAATATCTCTTCCTTGTCTTCTCACCACCCTGACATTCCTATCAATTCGGGCTCCATCGGACCACTTTTACCCTAATTGCTCCAGTGGGGGAACCGACAGGTTTTGTGTCCAGTTCCCTGCTGGAAGCACTGCTGTTACCCCACTGGTTCCAGCTCATCCAACTGGATAATGGGGGACCAGCAGTGTGTGGCAGCCGGAGACTGAAAGAGGACTGCAGATACTGCTGGACTGTCACCCTAGAGGATAAGACTTGGGGAGGAGCCCTGGTCAGAGGGAGCCGGGGGCAGTGGGTGTGTCCCTGTGCCTCCTTCAGAACAGTTGGTGGGAGTGTGGAACAAGCTGCCCAGCCTTGTTATAGCAACTGACACCCTGGCTTCTTTCAAGACACAGCTGGACGAGATCCTCCAGTTAGGACTGGATCCACTGCTTTACATAGAGGGTGTTTTTTTTACACAGAGGGTGGTGGGAGTGTGGAACAAGCCGCCCAGCAATGTCCTTTTCTCGAGAAACAGCTGGGTCAGCTACTAAGACCCAATCAGGGTGTGCCGAACGGCTTCTCGTGTGTGAGCCATCTCGTGCTTTTCTGGCCTGGCGGCAGTGTGGCCAGTGGAAGCCCACTCTGTTCTTCAAAAAGCTGGTTCCCAGTTATAGTGCCCATCCCGCACAGTGTACAAATTCTCCAGAGGAATGGCCATTGGTGAACTGAAAGAACATGCAAACTCCACACAGACAGACACCCCAGTCCAGAATCCAGCCCAGCACCCCAAAAGCTGTGGAGCTGGGAGATATCAGTGCTAATTAATCTGCAACACCCCTCACCCAGTGGATTTTACTCACTCCACGGTGGTGTCCGTGTTTTAACCTTCCCAAAGCTTGACCCTTCAAGACCACACAAGAGACAAGTTCTGCCCCTTTTAAATCCGATTTCCCCCCTTCCTCTTCAGATCCGGTCTCTGCTCTCCTGCTGCCTGGCTGTGCCAATTCTGTCATGATGAGCACACCCCCCCCCCGCCCCCCAGAACCCCCTTATCTTCTCCGACAGCCTTGTTCCAATAAGCCGGCTCCTCACATTTTTCCATCCTCTGCGGGGAACAGAGGGATTTTTCCACTCGGAGGCTGAATTTTGGGCTCTGCTCAGCTGACATCTGGAACGTGGTAATGCTCGACGCCCAACCCCCCCCGACGCGACACCATCTGGATTGAATCTTCCCTTCTGCGTCCCCCCCCGGCCCCTCTGCTTCTCACGTCCTCGGCATCTGGACGCAATTTGGACGTCTTTGCGGGCTCCAGTCGTCTTCCCTGGTGCCGCTCAGCTCGGCTCCGCGGCCGGCGTTCCTGTACTCCTGAGACCTGGCTATGGATGACAGCTCTGCGGCGCTCGGATCAGCTCTCCGATCAGGAAGAAAAGTTCAGCCTGGTGTCTTCCATTACCCACGATCCCTGGGACTGCGAGCGCAGTGGGGCGCCTCTTTCCCCCAGACTGCATCCCAATGCCCCGATGATTCCATGTTGTATTAGATTTTCTAATTAGGACATGTAAACATGAGAACGATTACACACGAGAGGGGGTCATTCCGCCCATCCAGCCCGGCTGGACATTAGAGGCTTGTTGCCGGGGGGGGGAGATTGGAGGTGGTGGGGGTGTGGAACAAGCTGCCCAGCCATGTGGTTGGAGCTGATTCTCTGTTTGCTTTCAAGAAACAGCTGTGTGAAATCCTCCGGTTGGGACAGGAGGTGCTTCTTTACACAAAGGGTGGTGGGGGTGTGGAACAAGCTGCCCAGCCATGTGGTTGGAGCTGATTCTCTGTTTGCTTTCAAGAAACAGCTGTGTGAAATCCTCCGGTTGGGACAGGAGGTGCTTCTTTACACAAAGGGTGGTGGGGGTGTGGAACAAGCTGCCCAGCCATGTGGTTGGAGCTGATTCTCTGTTTGCTTTCAAGAAACAGCTGGGTGAAATCCTCCGGTTGGGACAGGAGGTGCTTCTTTACACAAAGGGTGGTGGGGGTGTGGAAAACGCTACCCTGCCACAGGTAGCTTGTTTGACTAAATAGTTGGATGAGATTCATCCATTTTCTACCAGCTTTATCCAGAACAGGGTCAGAGGAGAGCCACAGGGCACACGCACACACCAGGGCCAATTTCCCCAGAGTCCAATTGATCTAACCAGCACGTCCTGGGACAGTGGGAGGAAACCAGAGCACCCGGAGGAAACCCGCAAGAAAACGGGGAGACCGCACCAACTCCACACAGTCAGCACCCCAGTCAACCCTGACCTCCAGCGCTGTGAGGCAGCAATTTTAAACACCCTGCCACTGTGCCCCCCGTCCTGGCATCAGTTAACGACGACACATGCTGGATGGGCCGAAAGGCCTGTTGTTGTGATGCTCCTCTGATCGTGCAGTGAGCATCTCTGCTGCCAGCTCCGCTGCGAGGAGGACAGGCGCTGCGCCGGGGGCCACAACTTGATAAACAGGAAACAGGAAAACCGCACACTGACGAGGTACAGCCATCTCCACGGCGACCGCACAGGAAGCGCCTCGAGAGCGAGGAAGAGGCAGACGTGTAGAGAGAGAGAGAGAGACCCGGAGTTCAGTACCGATCGGGGACGACACTACCGACACTCACTCTGAAGAAAGTCCGGTTCCCAGGATGAAGCCAAACCTGTCTGTCTCTCGGGCTGGCACCCCAGTGCTGAGCTGAGAAATGGCATCAGAACCGGAGCCAGAGTCACAGTCTGGATCTGTCGGGGCCGAAACGTTCTCCATCGCACCCCCTGACAGAGAGAGAGGGGTTAATACAGTCCAGACAGACTGACTGGACACTACAGTACATTAACACTGCACTGAGAGAGAGGGGTTAATACAGTCCAGACA